GGGAGGGGCAGAGAGAGAGGGAGACACAGAATCGGAAACAGGCTCCAGGCTCCGAGCCATCAGCCCAGAGCCTGACGCGGGGCTCGAACTCACGGACCGCGAGATGGTGACCTGGCTGAAGTCGGACGCTCAACCGACTGCGCCACCCAGGCGCCCCTGCAGACATTGTTTTATTGCTGAATTAGTAGGCCATTCTTTTGAAATTACGCCTAATTTACTTCAAACTGTGTAATGCATCAGTTCTGTTACCAACCACTTGATGCAGATGCTGTTTCTTCTACCTTGAATGCTCTTTCTCCTTTCTTTGCCGAAGGGAGAACTTATTCTTTAGATCCTAGCTTAAATATGACTTCTTCAGGGAAACCAGACAACAGAGCCATGGCAACAATCTAATTACCTTGCTTAACAGTCAGTTGATATCCACTCTAATGACATTTTCCCCCAGTATTTTTATTGTGGTAATATACACGTAACATCAAATTTACCATCTTAACCATTTTTAAGTGTACAGTTCAGTAGTGTTAATACGTTCACACTGTTGCACAACCATTGCCACCGTCCATCTCCGGAACACTTTTCATCTTGTAAAACTAAAACTATATACACATTAAACAACTTCCTATTCTTCCCACCCCTTAGCCCCTGGCAACTGCCATTCTACTTTCTGTCTTTGTGAATGTGATGACCCTGGGTACCTCATATCAGTGGAATCACAGAGTATTTGTCTTTTTGTTACTGACTTTTTTCACTTAGCATAATGTCCTCAACGTTCATCCATGGTGTAGCCATGTATCAGAATTTTCTTCCTTTTGGAGTCTGAATGATATTCCTTTGTATATCCATTCGTCTGTTGATAGACATTTGGGTATCAATCAGTCTCTTAAATCTGGAGAACAAAAAGTAGAGTTATAAATTGAAGTTCCAGTAATACTAGCATTTATAATTGCCCACATTTACCTTTCCTGAGATCCTGAGATCTTTGTTTTCTACATATGACTCTACACTGTCTAGTGTCCTTTCATTTTTTTTTTAAGTCTATTATTTTGAGAAAGGGAGAGTGCAAGTGGGGGAGAGGCAGAGAGAGAGGGAGAGAGAGAGAATCCCAAACAGGCTCCACA